TTTTTTTTTTTTTTTTTGGTACTGGGGATTGAACTTGTGAGGCAGGCGGCAGCACCACTGAGCTAAATCCCTGGCCCTGAAAACTATCTTATTTTAAGATAAAATAGCAGGTCTTGGGCTTGTTTAGCATGTACCACATTGAATCCCTAGCACTGCAAAAATAAGAAACAACTAAAAAATACCCAGTAGCAATCTTAGATTTTATCCTGAAAATTTTAATTATTCTAGTTGGATCCCTAAAAATCTCAAGGACTTTTGAGTATTTTAAGTGTTTTTCCCTTTTCTATATAGACAAATATTTGGAATGATGTTTTTCTTTAATTCTGTCTGCAAAACAAGCCAACTAAGGTTCTAGAAAAAGTGAAAGACTTAAGTGTCTATTTACATTAAAGGTGTAAGACAGAGGGACACTGAAGTGCTTGTGAGCTAACCAGCTGGGGACATTTGCCCTCTGCAGGGAGCACTGATGACCTGCCCATGGTCCTTGAGTGTGCACGCTTGGTGGAGAGGATGTACAGCCACATTGCTGCACGAGCTGAGGAGTTTGCTGTGTTTTCCCCCTTTATGGTGACCCAGTATGTAACGGAGACACAGAAGGTACAAACCAGGGTTTTCTTTCAGTCTTTGAGCATGGATTTGAAAGCAGAATGGTGAGTGACCTTGGACCTGTGGCCCCCTGTCCTGTCCTCGGTGAAGTATTCAAACAGTGTTCTGTGGGGCTGTGGTGGTGGCTGAGTGTGGCAACGTGAAGGCTCAGGAGAGCCCACAAACGAGCACAGGACTTTAGTTTCCTCTGGCTCCAGAACAGACTCCTCTCCTGAGTAATCTGATTGGGAGGTGATACGTTACCCAGGGCCAAGAACAAGGTCTCCTGGGCCAGGCTAATGGAAGCACCAAAGGGACCAGGGTCTGAGTTCTCTGGGTTCCCTTGTCCTATTGTTTGTGAGACTCAGTGGCTCTCAGACACTCAAAGCAGGAGGCAAGTGGAGATACAGGTGACTTGTTCACATTGAGTTTTGTCCAAATTACTTTAGCTTTTTGTCTTAAGGGATCTGGGTTATAAATTCACCATTTAAAAGTTATTTCACTTTGGGATGTCCACATCTATTTTCAAAATCTTTTAGGCTGCTGTTGCTGCTATAGGGCTCGAATTTTGAGCTATGTGAACGTTGACTTTGTTTAATGTGAACATCAGTGTGGAAGACAGTGAGTTCAGATAGAACTGCAGATAGAGCGTGTATTTGCTTGTGTCTATTTATGTTGTTTTCTACTTGTCTGTGAAAGATCCTCTCTGCTGTTACCCTCCTGGTAGGCACAGTGGTGAGGCCTCTGGTGACCTGTCTGGGTAGAGGTGACACACAACCTTTCTCCAGGGAGATTTGGCTGAATGGACTTCCTCAGAACACTTCCCTCCCTGTTTTAGGCTAGTCTGTAATGGCTGACTACTTTCTAGGCCACTGGCCCTGCTGACCTTGGCCAGTGGAGTCGCCTGTCTTTTGGGTGGGTGATTGGCCATGCAGGAATAGCCTGGACATAGGAGTGCACAGGTGGGTCATCAACTGCCACCGCAGTGAGAGGCATGTAAGATACAAAGACCCTGCAGCTTGTCCTTTGAGTGACATGTGGACCTGGAGTTTGATTTCTTTGCAGTTGGTTAGCATTTTTGTAGAATCTTGTTTTGTTTTTTTGAGACAGGGCCTCGGTTTATAGTGTAAGCTGACCTTGAACTCACCATGTAGCCTACGCTGGCCTCAAACTCGAAGTAATCCTCGTGTCTTTGCCTTCCAAGTGCTGGGGTTACAGGCCTGTGCCACCGTGCCTGGCTGCATTTTTATAGAATCTTGACGTTTCCCAAGCACTGGAGTCATTATTTTCTCTTTCACTAAAGAAACAGTAATATCACTTCACTGAGGGCTAAAAAGTGAAGCTATAATTGGAACCTTTAAGTCACTATTATACTGAGATTTACTTTATGAAAAGTCTGTTGCCTAGCCTCATTATTCATGTCTAATTTATGCTTATCTTTTACATTTTTATTTTTAATCTTGAAACCCAAAGGCCTTGAGAATTATATAAGGCCGTAGCATCCCAGAATTTATTGGCAACAGAGTTTTATGTCTTATCTTTTGTTTTTTAATTCAGTAATGGAGAAAATGCTCCATATGTATTAGAGGCATCTACTGAGAGAGCCATTAATCTTTCCAGACCAGCATGTTTGGGTTTAATTAAATGTTAGGTAGCAAGTGCTTCTAAGTAGATCCTGCCTTTCTCCCTTTGTGCTTCTGCAGAGTGGGTATTGGTGGGAGGTGGGAAAGTAGTCAGCAGTTACAGTCTAGCTAAGCAGCTGGAGTCTGTGGGGCCCCTCCACAGGTGACGAGTCCCAGTGGAAACGTGTGAGGCCATCACAGTCATTTTCATCTTCCATTGACCCTCATGTCAAATTTAGGATTTATGCTACTTTAGGGAAAGTAGTTTACATTGCTCATCTGTACAAGGGGGTACTGGGGATCGAACTCGGCCTTGTGCTTGTGAGGCAGACAGTGGAACCACTGAGTCAAATCCCCAGCCCCTGTCCAAGGAGATTTTAAGCTTAGAGGTGTTTTCATTCATTGGCCAGCAATTTCTGTGTTGTGGGAATTGACTTTTTCTTGTCTTAGAAATAAGGACCTGAAACCCAGAGATTCGCTGTAGTCATGTTGTCCTCGTGCTACTGGCCTCCTGTGCAAGGCATGCAGCTCATTCTGCCCCATCTTGTTCTCAGAGGGTTCTGTTTTCTTTCCCAGGTGACCTTGTACCCAGCTGTGAAAGATGTGCTGCAGGAGGGCATTTACCTCATCCTGGACCTGTGCACTGAGGCTAACATCCAGTTCCTTCGGGCCTCACTGCAGCCTGGAGCGAGAGATGTCTTTAAGGATCTGCACAGTGACTATGTGAAGTACCACAAGGCTAAGCAGGAAGGAGAGAGAAGATACACCGCCTAGATGAGCTGCAGCACTACCAAGGAGGAGCTGCGCAGTGTCTACCCAACATACCACAAGACTGAGCAGGCCAAGAGGGAAGACACCATCTAACCAGTTGTAGAAACACATTAGGGCCACTCTTCCAAGGCTTTGGCATGGTCTGAGAGCCTTGGAGTGTGAAGACCTTAGATGCTCTGATGCACGGAGCTGACACATGTGGAATGCCCTTTGGATCTTATATATTTTTATAGCATGTTTTTCTCACTATTCCCTTATTTATTAATTTTTTTTTTGTAATCACTTTTTTTTATGGTGGTAGGGATATAGCCAAGGACCTTGAGCCTGCTGAGCATATGCTTTACCACACCTGGCCCTTGTATATCTTTTTATAAGTAATGATGAATTAGAATCCTGAAACTGGACCCTGGAATGAGAATTATTGGCTCTTGCAACCCACCCTGCTTAGCTCTTGTCCTGGGTCAGGGGCTGGTGTCCCTCTCTCCTGGCTAAGAACAATATAGAACTTGGCACTTTGCTTCCAGTCTACAATTAAATCCTACTGTAAATTCTCAAGGAGCACAAGAGGCATTCTCACAGTGCCGCGTTTTTGCCTTTGCTGTGGGATCCTCTGATGGCGCTGGAGATAGCTCCCTGGCTCTGGGGCAGCTGAATGCTCTGGGCAGGTGGATGCTCCTCCTTGCTCTCCTGCTTCAGTCTGTGAATCTTGTTTTGGAATTTTTTTCTCTTGGGTTTAAGATATAATTTTAATCATTTAATCATTTATTTTTATTACCTAAGCAATGTATTTTGGAGTTTTTTGGGTTTTTTTTTTTTTTTTGTACCGGGGAACTCAGGACCTTGTGCTTGCGAGGCAGGCGGCAACACCACAGAGCTAAATCCCTGGCCCTAAGCAATATATTTTAATCATAGCAAACCTGAGAAAATAAAAATTGAAGGGAAAAATTTCAAAAACTGCTCGTATTGCCCCCCTCCCAGATGACCTTTGCTATCACTTGAAGTGTCTCGTTTTGGATTGTTTGTTGTGCAGGTGTGTCGAAGTACAGGTCTATGTACACATAATAAGCTGAACTGATCAAGATGCATTGTTTATATAGTTAGCTTACATTTTCCTGTGTAATACAGTAGTGTATAAATAGCATCTTTGGGCCTGGGGATTTAGCTCAGTGGTTCTGCTGCCTGCCTAGCAAGCGCAAGGTCTCAAGTTCAATCCCCGGTACCACAAAAAAAAGAAAAGAAAAAAAAAAAAAAAAACTTCTTAATCCCCGGTACCACAAAAAAAAGAAAAGAAAAAAAAAAAAAAAAACTTCTTTGGATCAGTGAAGACACTTGGTGTATATTTTTAATGTTGCACAGTAGTTCTGTTAGTAGACATAGCTATTTGATTTAAAAGTGCCCCATTATTAGACATTGGGTTCTTCCCTTGTTCCCTTTTATAGATGGTGCCTGTTTCCCTAAGATTAATTCTCTCTCTTTTTTTTTTTTTGGTACCAGGAATTGAACTTGGGTCCTTTAGCTTGCGAGGCAGGCGGTGCCTAAGATTAATTCTCATGAATTGTGTTGTTTGTCGGAAAACTGAATCAATTTTAATAACAATGTAAATGCTGCCAATTGTTCTCTAGAAAGTGTAATTTATTTTCTCACTAGTGAGTCAACCAACATTATTGATTTTTATTTGTTTTGTTTCCTTGATAGGAGAGAGATGCCATTTTGTTCTGAATTTCTTTAATTTTACTAAATGATTATGCACTTTTGCATTCACCATTTTATTATGTAAATTATGTAATTGTCTATTTCTCACTTAAGATGTTTGCTTTTTCTCATTATTGTCTGCGGAATTTATGTTAGAGTTTCTTGATTTCCCTTTTTCAGTCAATGTGAAGACTTTTCATTTTTTAATTAGTACATATTTGCAGTACATAATAATCACATTCATCATGGATTTGTGCGTGTACATAACACACTTTAATTATTTTGTCCCCTTCCCCTCCCCTCCCTCTGACCCTTCTTTCCCTCCCATGAAGACTTTACAAAAAAAAAAAAAATTTTTTTTTAATGCTGTGGATTGAACCTAGGTCCTCACAGATACACAGGCAACTGCTCTACCACTGAGCTGTACCCAATCCCAGTCCTGTTTTTTAAATGGTTGGGAAATTCTTCCCAATCTCCTTTCTGATTACATGTGGTTGGAGCAGACAGTGTATGATGGATCTTACCTAAGGCAAACAGCCAATGCCTCATGCTGCTATGTGATTTTATTTCCAGCACTGGCTAACTATAGAGGGAACAACCCTTCTTTGCCTACAGGAAATCTCTCATTTCCATGGATGTACAGCTGGCCAGGAGAGCTCCAGCAGCTGACGATGGATCCAGGTAGGCTAGTGTCCTGCTTTGTGTCCTGCTTTATGCCCTGCATGCCACTGAATTCCCTGCAGGAACATCTCAGTGAGGTTGGTGACAGTTGTCTCATTCCCTTTGAGATAGTGTGTTGGGTGAGTGGGCAACATTTCAAGGACACAACATAACAGAGCAGCAGCTGATCTGCTTGAGGCAGTACTCCAGTGGAAGGGCTGTCTTGGAGGCCCCTGGGCCAGAGTCTGGCTCTCAAGATCAGCTGGCCTTGATCCCTCACTGGAATGTGGGTGGGAACTGCAGACATGCAGTTCCTTTGGTGTCCTGTCAGTGGCGCTGTGGGGCTGCAGACCATCCTGAACATAGAACTTTGCCTTGGAGGAGGGCTGGTTGCCTCTATCCACCCAGTGCAGATTGCTGCTGAGTCCCATTCTGGAAGTGGTCAGCTCCTCATAATCACTTCCATGTAAATAGCCTTTCTTGGGAAAGAGGAAACAGGCTCCCAGGAGGCACTGAGAAGGGGTTTTGGGCTCATTCCTGTTCTGTTTTAGGAGGCCTAGGGTGGAGGGTCAGTCCAGGCAAAGTGGGCCTTCCAAGAGACTATCCTTTCCAGACCTTGGGCTCCAAACCCCTTAGCACCTGACACAGGTGCATTCATTTCCCCACCCCACATCATGAGGCTGAGCACAGAGAAAGCCCTGGTCGTTGTGTAGCCTTCTCTCCATAGGGGCATTGACAACAAGCCAGTAACGCATGGGCAAGATGCTCTGGGGGTTCACAGCAGTGGAAGCACAGCTGGCACGTGTAGCCCAGACTTGCCAACCTTAGCACCTGTGCTGGAGTCACTTGTCCAGGCCAGGAGTGTGTGAGTGTGTGTGTGTGTGTGTAAGTGTGAGGGGTACTGGGAATCAAGAAAGCTCCACTTGAGAGACCTGCCTGGGCTGTCCTGTGGCAGCTCTTTGGGCAGCCTACACAGCAGTGCATGAAGGACACCAGGAGACTACACAGCAGCCAACCCCCATAGGTGATTGCTCCCTCAAAACCTCCCCTTCAGCTGCCTGACCTATCTTGGCACCTTTATCATCACACTGCCCTGCTTTGTGTCTACAGAGACTGCCCGATACCAAAGGCCAAGGTGAAAGCTCCAGGAGAAAGATGTGCCCTGTCCTTTCTTGTGTGTTGCTCTCTGTGGCTGCTGTGTGTCTCCAGTACCTTCACTAGCATCCCCGGGGCTGTGTTACTCTGTTTAGATCTGGGTCCCCTGAAGTTCCTGCCCCTCCCCACTGTAGTGTCCGCCTCTGTTGCTGGGGAAAGAAGCAAAGCCTTGGCGATCAAGTTCTCTATAAAGTCCTCTCCCTCCCTTCAGTGGGCCCATCAGGAACAACCGCTCTCAATTCCAGTGACTGTGTCGTCATGGTGGTTTTAGTGTGAAGTTGTGGTTGGTTTTAGAATAAACATTATGGGATGGGAAGAACATGTAAAATGCTCCATAATGAATGCAGCCAGTGTGGGTGGGGAGTGACCCAGGGTGTGACTCAGTAGAAATGGCCACATGCCCATAACAGGCAGTGGGCCAGGTCCCCAGAGGTCAGGACTACTCAGAGGGATGAGACCCATGAAGGGCAGAGTGTGGCACTAGCCCCAGCCAGGCACTGAGGGGGACCAGGCAACACACACCTCCCGTACCTGCATGTTCTGGAAGACTGGCTGTTTCCAGGACTGATGCTGGTCCTTCTGTAGATACATGAGGTGCCATGGCGTCCTGTGCTTGGCATCCTCTGCCTCCTTATATAGTCTGCCCTGGCATGTCTTCCGAGTCCCCGAGATTTATCACAAGTGTTAGGTTGGCAGTCTGCAGTCTAGCCACAGCCAGTTTTTCTCCCATCATTTTCCCTCCCGTTTACAGCCTCAGCCCAACCATTTGCACTTGCCTGTTACCTTTGTTCCAAGGCCTCTAGGGTGGCTGTTAGTCATGTGCAGGAACAGCCCAGCCTTACACAACATACTCACTGCCCGCCTCTCAGTGCTGCTGCTGACCCCATCAACCACCATGTCTGGCTGTGTGGCAGATCCCAGGGCATCCTCTCTAGTGCCGCTGGAATGCTGGGCCTCCCTGGGCTTCTGCTATCCTCTCTAGGGTCCCCATGTTCTTTCTTACATGCACTGACTCCTTTTACTCTCCCTGCCCCTAAAATGCAGGTGCTCTGAGCTCTCATGAGTCATCTCCTCTCCACCCATTCCACTCCTTGAGGTCACTGGTTATCTCTGGGCAAGTTCCAGACTTCACTTTCTGCCTATTGAGTTGCCTTGCTATGGGCAGGTTAAGAGCCTGAAGGGCATGGCCTCTCCCTGGTGCTCTGAGTGGATCATTCTCCCTCTGTCCAATGTCCAATTCCCTTCCCCCTTCTCTTGTTGCTTCTGGTCCTCTGTCCCAATATGCTGACCCATGGTAGCGGTGAAGACTCCCTCTAAAGACAGATTGGCTCCTGGAAACCATTGGCTGACTATAGCTACTCATGCTTCCCCAGCTCTTCTGCTCACTGTTGCTCAAGGAAGGTGCTGACCAGCTGGCCACATTGCTCCTTCAGGCCTGCTGCCACCTTCACAGTGATGCATGCTCTGGCCTCACCTTGAGAATTGGCCATGAGTTCTTTGGTACGGGGTCCAAGTTGGTGTTTCCTCCAACACAGTCTGACATAGGAATCAAATGGGACCCATCTGTCTGCCCATAGGGAACCTGTCTGTCTGGCCCCAAAGGATCAAACACTGTAAGCTCATTCTTGGGACCTTGTACAGGGCATCAGGTGGTGTAGCCCAGTGTGTGAAGGCTGAAGGCTCCTAGGTTGCAGGAACCCTGGGACTGCAATACTGTCTCACCGGGAGTGAGCACAGAACCATCTCACTCCACGTTGTTTCTCAGCCAGACTTTTTTCCTTTTAAACAGTGAGCCACCTTTATAGTTTCTGACCTAGAGCACCAGGGTTTGGAGTAGACATAAACAAGGTGACCATGCTGAAGCAGGTGGGAGCCCAGAACCCACCCTATGTGTCTCGCTGCCCTTGGTTCTCTGGGACCCTCCCTGGCCTCCCTTTTTCTCAGGGCTGGACTGGAAATCTATCAAAAGTCCCACTTTCCCTGCCATCACTCCCCCAGCACCATGTTTGCATATTCCTTAGTATTTAAGTATCCAATTCCTTAGTATTTAGGTGTTCTAAGATGTATCTGTCTTAGTCTGTTTTGTGTTCCTTTAATAGAATATCACAAATTGGGTAATTTATAAAGAACAGGGCTGGAGCTCAGTGGTTCCACCGCCTGTTTTGTAAGTGCAAGGGCCTGAGCTCGATCCCTGGTACCAAAAAACAAACAAACAAAAATAAAAAACAAATTCATTTCTCATAATTCTGGAGCCTAA